AGGTTTGGTGGTGGCTTCTGCATGAAGGTGGGTGTTTGCACTTGTCCCTGGGAAGCCTGATTGCCTGTCTGTGCCAGTGAAAAAGTGATGTTGCTTGCAAGTGCTTCCCTCAGAAATCAGAACAAAGTATTATCTCCCAGCAGAGATTTGGGAAGATCACTTAAACAGGCTTTTCTTGGATGCCAAAATTGTTTGCTGAGAATCCCTGGCTGCTCAGTGCTCTCACTCTGCTTTTGCCATATTGAATTCCTGTTTACAGAAGAAGAACTGGCCCTGCAAACCAAACTGAATGAAATACCCGAAGAACGCGACATCGTGAAAGTTGTCTTTCATTTCATCAATATTCTTAAATACTTGGAAAGCACAATGTAAACATCTTAAGAGCAAGCAGATAGAGTTCTCTTGATGTGCAGGGTTGTTGGGATTTATAAACAGAGAGGCAGTTCTCAGGGTGTGGAACCGATGTTTCAGACTTTCCACCAAAGCTCTGTATGCTCATGTCATTACAGCTCTTCCTTCGGGCTACATTGTTGGCACAGTGTCCTGAAATGTTTCTCATTAGTAAACTTTTCATAACCTCCAGAACTGCAGAATGAAATGTGCCGGGATGCCAGCTGGAGCTGGCACTTGGCGCAGGGCTCTCCGAGCTGTTTGCTTAGCTGGATTTGAAGGATGTTCCGGACCAGCTAGCAGGACATGTGACTGAGTTTTGACTTAAACCGCTGGCCCCCTTCCAGCCATCCTGCACACTTCATGGGAATGCTTTCCACTTGTCGCTTTCATACCTCAGACACAGCTTTTAACAATTTGCTCATAAACCCAAGTCCAGCAGCCATTGGAATAGGGCTAGAGGTAATGGTACTTGGCTGTATAAAGTAACAATGAGATTCCAGAACACCTCAGTATGTATTTAATGCTGAATTAACAGTTTTCCAAGGGTAAGAGCCCTGCTTTCCCTTTTTTCCATTGTACTCCCAACTCCTCTGATTTCTTTTAGAAAGGCTCTTACCTGGGCAGGCGTGGAGCCATAAGGGAGAGGCACATGCAAGCTGCAAGCAGATGTCAGAAGACCAGCCATAGACCATGTCCTTGTGCCATGTCCTGGGGTGGTCTTAGCAGTGAGAGCTCTTGCAGGGTTATAAGCGTTGCTTTTCTTTTGTCTTCATGTCAGGTGTTCGTATTTGTGCTTTAAGGCATCAGGTGCAGTCTGGAATTGGCCCTCTGCTGAGACGCAGGAGTTGCAGTGTTGTGATCCAGAGAAGCTGTGGCTGCCCCATCCCTGGCAGTGTTCAAGGCCAGGTTGGACACAGGGCCTTGGAGCAAGCTGCTCTAGTGGAAGGGGTCCCTGCCCGTGGCTGGGGTTGCAGCTGGATGGGCTTTAAGGTCCCTTCAGCCCAAACCAGGCTGGGGTTCTGTGTGTGTGAGGTTGCTGCTGCTGTTTTACAGGTGACGCTGCAACCCAGGGCTGGAGAGACAATCCCTGTGGCCATACAGGGCTGGCAGCCCCCAAAATGGACTTCATGGCTCCATCAGCTTCTCTTGTATCTCTTAATCCTACAACTTGCCTTCTTCCTTTTAGTATTCCAGGACACCCTGTAGGAGATGGTGTTATTTCAGAGCAGAGCCACAAAGGCCGTTTCCCCAGGAAAGCTTAATTTGTGGATGAGTGATTGGAGCTCAGTTTAGTGAAATTGTTTTACCTGATTCAGAGCATTTAGACAGTAAAAATAGAAGTATTTTCCTGGACTTCATTTCCAAATAATCAAGACTATTATTTTAAACATGAATTTTCAACCAGGAGTTTTATTTATGCATAATTTAGATCATTTCCTAGGTGTAGATCTTCTTTTCTTTGCTCCAACATGGAAAATAACATGTGGACTCTGAGTAGTTCTCAGATGCTGAATGCCAAATCATCTGAATTAAATTTGAATCCAGTGGGTTCTGCGCCTTCCCAGTTGTTCATCACTTGCAGGGTTTATTACATTTTAGTTGGTAGTATTCAACCCAGCCAGCCCTAGAGATACTGGTTAAACTTTGTGGGTCTAAAGAGTAGCCCCTGAATGAGTCCCCAGAGCCGCTTCAGTTTAGCAGTGCAGTGATTTCAGTTTCCTTTAAAAGGACAGTGCATTGCAGCTCCTTTTAGTACTTGAAAATTTGTTTACAATTTCAGTTTCCCTGCCTCCAATACCTGTTAGGAATTGTAAAATAAATGGATTTTCCCCCAGTTATATTCTGGTTTTTCTTTTCCTATTTAGCAAACATCGATTTTCACTCCCTTCCCCAGTGCTGCTGTTCACTGCCAAAATTAACATGTCTTTGGCTTTCCTTTCCAGAGGGTCTGCCTGGAATGCCCCATTAACAGGAGTGGGTCCTGCTCCCTCCTCCTGGCACTGCTTGGTGCCCACACTGAGGAGGTTTGGTGCTGAAAGGCTCTGGGGAGCCCAGGCTTGCCTCGTGCTTTATAGGGACTTTTATAAGGCTGTTCACTTGTAACAGTAGACACTAAAAGGTTTTTGTTTCATGGTGCTGCTGCAGGGCCCAGCCTGGCTCTGAGTTACTGAAACCTTTTATGGCCCAGAGCCCCAGATGCTGATGTTGACTTGGGACCACGCTGACACATGTCCCAAGTGACTCGGCAGCATCCACTTCCAGTGCCTGCTGCTTCCAGTAGCTGGGCAGGCAGCTCCTCTGGCCCTGCCTGGCTAAACATCACCCCTGGAGGGTGGCAGAGCCCTGCTGCAGTCCTGAACTTGAGCCAAAGCCTCATGCTCCTCAGGAGCCGCAGCGGGGCCATGCAGCCAAGGTGTCCTCACTGGGCTGGGGAGACCACACAGGTTCAGCAGTGCAGCCTGGTCAAGAGAGGGAGCTGCCCCAGTTGTTTCTAATGGGCAGTGATGTGGACTCCTAAAACCTTCTCTTGCTGCAGTTAGGCCCACCTCTAGCAGATAGAGATCAGAGGGAAACCTCCTCTGGCCAATCTGCAGCATCAGGGCTGAGCTTCTGCAGCTGCCCATCACTAGGCTGGACCTTGGCAGCAGATCTGACCAAAGGCCAGCTGCATGTGCAGGGTTAACTGCTGGGCTTGAGCATGGGAAGCACATTATGGCAAGTCATAGATCTGCAAGGAATGTTGAAAAGGAGGACTTGGGCCATGTGGTGCCCATAAAAATGAATGCAAAATGTTCCAAAGTAATGAAATCTGCAGATAAGGGGGTTTTTATGTTTCCAAAGTGTTGAATATTAAAAGACGAAATCAACAGGAGTTTAAATAAGCACAGACAAGTGAGTCAGCAAGAAGATATAAAATCATCAGGAAAGGCTGAGTTTGTTTTAATGTGGGGATTACTGTAAACACCAGGAGTGCATGGTAACAATTTGTAGCCCATGTGTTTTGAAATATCATAACTGGTGTCAATAAATGCATTAAAATTCAACTTCAAAGAGCTTTGTGGATGTTTGGAGTGTCACGAAGACGTTGCAAAATGGGGATTTTAGGTGGAAACAAGTATGGGAGCAATCAAGCACAGCTCCTATGTGAAGAAAGGGATCTTGTCAAGTTGTTAGAGCTAAGCATCTGTGATGGTGATTATTGCTTCTTACTGCTAAGAACTGCTCTCAGCCCCTGATTTCTTTCACGCTGTCTCCCTTGCCTCCCACCCTGACCTTGTCTCACCCACCTGTTAGGTCTTGCTTCCCAGACAGAATTCTTTGGAGCAGGGCCTGCCCTTTGCTGTTTGTTTCCGCAGTCCCTGGGAAAGCCCGGCTGATTTCCAGGCCCCGTCTCCATTGGAATAATAAACTCATTCTGTATCTGTCCCAGGATGACTTGTGGCACAGAGGATGTGTTGTCCTCCTGTGCTGACGGCCTGACTGGATAAAGGCATCTGTCATCACCGCAGTATTTGATGTGCTTGAGTCTTCCATGCTCTGTGAGCTGCTGTTCCAGGGGTACGGAAGAGGCTGAGCTGCCTCCCTTCTGTCTTCCCCACATAGAGTTTCAGTGGTGTATTCTGTCCTTCCTCAGACTTCCACTGGGTTGAAATAACTTCTTTTCCTCACTTTTTCTCTTGTAATATTTCTTCCTGGTGCATTTGGATTCACTCCATAAATGCACCCCTATTTGTTACACGAATCACGTGCGTGCTCCAGGGAAATGGGTCTCTGACTGTGATCTTTCAGCTGTAAAAGCACAGACTTCTAACACTTAAGCTTTAGCACTTTAATAAATCCGTTGCTTTGTTTCTGGGATATCCCAGAAAGTGCTGTATAACTTCTGTACGTAAAAAAGCAGCAGAGTTCTGTTTACATGACTCTGCCTCAAGATTCCACATGCCAGCCTCTTGTTTTTTCTTGTTTTCACCTTTTTGATGGATTTAATGCATTGCTTTACATCAAACAATCAAAATTTCCTCCTTAAAAGCCACTTGGAGAGCTGCGTTGGTCATCCTGTTGACAGAGGCACTGTCAGAGAGCCAACAGGTAACATGAGTTCTTTTCCCTCTGTTTTTATTCCAGGTAAACTCAGACCTTCCAAAGCTCATCACCCTTTTCTTGGTGCTTTCCCGGCCTCCTTTATTCAATTTGCCCTGAGTTACATGTTCATCTCCAGAAGTGTTTGGACAGAGGATGGCTATGGAGAAAGGACAAGCCCTGCCTCTCCTGAGGAATCGCTCTGTGCAAAGAGATGTGTGTTACCTGGTGAGAATGTGTGCTCAGCACTGACATGAAGCAAGCCTGGCCTATAAAGAGCATGTTTAAATACCTGTGAAGTTTTACAATCCAGTGTCTGTGGGACAGAGCTCATTTATGGTTGGTATGTTGTGGGAACTCTGTTATTACTGTGTTCCAGTGTGCCTCTCAGCTTCAAGTTTATAATGCAATCCCATTCAGAGATGACAGTGGATACCATCCACCAGTCAAGACATTAGCAGACTGTCTTGCATGGAATGAATTTCCTTGTCTCAGTTTGATTCCTCCTGTGTCTCCCCACAGCTGGCAGCCCCTGGCAGACATCAAAGGCCAAAGACAGACCGGTTCCCAGAAAAGACACTCTCTGGCCATTCCTGAATGAGATCCTGTCCTATCAGCACAAGCTGTTCCACCAGGTGAGCAAGAGAAGTTTCTGATATCTCACATTGTCTCTTCTATAAATTCACTTTACAGCAAAACACCACCAGTAATTTCACTTATTACAAACCCTGCAGGAACAAAATTAATTCACACATGCCCTTTTTAAGGTGATTTATGACAGAAGCAATCTGAGGGAACAGATAGACATTCCTGCCTCTGGGTTCAACTGCCATTTAATCATCCCAGTCAATATTCCCTTGTTCTAATGCTCAACACTGTGTTCAAAAGGGAGTGCTTCGCTGTCAGCCGCATGCAGACCACGCAGGATTAAATAGGGCTTCTAGTGTGATGCATATAACAACCTCTTAAATGATTGGGACACCTGTTGACATTAATATAGAAGCATACATGAAAACAAGTGTGCCACACACTGAAATATACGTACACAAATATTAAGAGGATTAGAGAAATTGCTAAAGTGGATAGAGTGGAATTTAACCCAAACGTGTCTGGAACCGAAGCAGAATGGAAAGGACTTGCACAGAGCTGATCCCTTGGCTTTCTTATTTCGGAGTTCATTAGGGGCAGAACCATCTCTGTACAAGGAGATCATTTGCTTACATTTCAAATTTCTCTTTAATATCTGTCTTTGTTTGGAATCTGCCTCCGATTCAAACTCACTTTCATTTAGTAGCTGGCACCTCTGCCATGCGAGCTGCAGGAAAAAGTAATTAAGTTTAATAGAAGCCACCCTTGCTTTGAAGCTGCCCTGGATTTAAAGCCACAAGGAGAAGCAATTAAACTCTGGCAGCCAAGGATTCAACTGAACTTCTGTAGGGATTTATTTATTTTTTTATAAGGGAATTTTCTCAGTGGCGGGATTTGGATTGTCAGATCCCATCGGATTCAGAGCTGCAGAAATTTCCTTCTTTGGGAAGTCTCCTGAAGCAAAGTTATAAAACACCAACAAGCAATTAGATGGGAAAGGGGATCAGTTGTAAAGATCCAGGATATTTGTAATCCTTTTGCACTAACTTCCAAAAAACAGTTTGTTCTTCTCAGCAAAGTGCTGAATGGAAAAGGAAAGCAGGGAAGGAAGACATCTGCACGTCTGTTTATTTGCAGGCAGGTCAGCTTGTCAGCAGCCTAGGATATAGATTCATTACAGGAAGGGATTTCTTTGCACTAGAAGGTACCATAAGCATTGTTCAAAGCTGCTGGGGTTTTTCAAACCACCAAGAAACAGAAATTATTTCACTTGTGTGATTCCACCAAAAAATAGTCTTTAAATGAAGTAAGAAGGACGGGGGAAAGATGCCAGAATGCCATAAGGAGAGCCAAACTAGTTCTAATGATTTAAAAGTCTCTTGGGAGTTCCCTTTAAAGGATCAGAAAGGATTCGGTTGAACAAGGTCTGCTTCCAGTGCAGATGTTCTTCACAAAAGCAAACTGGTAATTCAGTTAATGCTTACAGGAGGCACAGTTGTCCTCATCTTCACCAACCCTTGGAAATGTTTGTAGAGTCTTAGCTAAGCCAGGGGCACTATGAAAGGTTTAATTATTGTCATGCAGGTATTTGCAATACATGTTCTTCTATTCCAAGGAAAAAATGCTCTCAGGCTCATTGCAGGGATACATTCATAGGGCATGACATGGATGAGAGTCAGTGAATTGATGGTCGTGGCTGGAATCGTGGTAAAGCTGCTCTGGCCATAGGCAGTGTCAGGGGAAATGTATTATTGCATCACGAGGCACTGTGAGGTGGAGGGGTGTTGGAAACAGCACGTTGTGCAGCCCTGAGAGGGCGTCTCTAGCAATGGGTGCACCAGCCTGTAAAAGGGGAATGGACAAAGAGAGCTCTGCGAAGAATGTTTGACCCCAGCGTTTTGGATGTTCCGGCTGTAATCTTTGACAATGGGTCTGGGCTGTTCAAAGCAGGTATCGCAGGGGACAGCAGCCCAAGGTCTGTTTTTACAGCGATTGTTGGGCGCTCTAAAGTCAAAGCTACAATGCTGGGAGCTGGGCAGAAAGAATGTTACATCGGAGAAGAAGCTCAGTCCAAACGGGGGGTCCTGTCTTTGAATTATCCGATTGACCATGGCATAGTTACGTCCTGGGATGATATGGAAAGGATCTGGAGACATGTGTATGAGTACGAGCTGAGACTCAAGCCCTGTGAAAGGCCAGTGCTGCTGACTGAAGCCCCTCTCAATCCTCTGCAGAACAGGGAGAAAATGACAGAGATCATGTTTGAAAGCTTCAAGGTACCAGCCATGTACATTGCAGTCCAGGCGACCCTGGCACTCTATGCATCAGCCCGTGTCACTGGGATGGTCGTGGACAGCGGAGATGGTGTCACCCACACTGTCCCCATATATGAAGGATACTGTTTACCCCATGCTGTCTCCAGGCTGGATATTGCTGGCCGGGATATCACCAAATACTTTATGAAGCTGCTTTTGGAGAGCGGACACACTTTTGTCAGCACGGCTGAAAGGGAGATTGTCAGAGACATCAAAGAGAAGTTGTGCTACGTAGCTTTAGACCCCGTCCAAGAGATGAAAGCAAAGCCAGAAGAGCTCATGAGGGAGTACAGACTGCCTGACAACACTATCATCCAGATAGGCACCCAGCGCTTCCGTGCACCAGAGACCCTTTTCATGCCTGCAAACATTGGAGTGGAAGCTCCCGGCGTGCACAAAATGATCTTCAACAGCATCATGACGTGCGACATCGACGTGCGCAGGAGTCTTTATGGCAATATCCTCCTCTCAGGGGGGTCCACGCTCTTCCCTGGCCTGGAGGAACGGATCCTGAAGGAGATGAAGCTGCAAGTGCCTTCTGGCATGTTTGTGAGGATCATCGCACCCCCTGAGAGGAAGTACTGCGTGTGGATTGGGGCCTCCATCCTCACCTGCCTGACGTCGTTCCGACAAATGTGGGTCACCATGAACGATTACAGGGAATTTGGGGCTGCTGTCATTCACCGCAAGTGCTTTTAAGGAGACCATCAAGTGAAGGGCTTGCTACAGCAACACATGAGCAAGGAGCCCTGCTGAGAGCTCAGTGACCTGAAAGGGGCTGCAGCCGTTTGTGTGTTCACTGGCTGACGCACTCTGTGTGAAAATCAAACATTAAAAGCTTAAGCAATGAGGATTTTAGTGTTTATCATCCCCCTTCCCCTGGGCAGAGGTTACAGGTGCACGCATATCACAGGGATGCAGTTACTCCCTAATGGACTCGCAGCCTGCCTTGGAGACACGTGGGGAGTAGCGTACCTCCTCTGCTGGGAGATCTTCCCTCTGAGGTCTTCGGGGTACCTGGGGTTTCTGTTCTAAAACTGGCTCTCATGTTATTTTTTACCTCATTGAAAACGTTTCCTTTAGAAACCCAGCAAAACCCTAAACAGAATCCAAATATAAATCAATGCAAATGCAATTACTGTAACCGGCCCTCCTCTGTGCCTGGGGGTCTGAATAAATCCATTGATTCTCTGCCTTAATTTGTCTGGGAAGCAGGAACACCCAGTTTCATACTGAATCAAAATGCTCCCCAGAGGAAGTGGTGTTGCCGGTGCAGCTACAGTGATTGTGAGCTCGGTGGGGTGGTACCTCTAGGCTGGGGGATCTAGAATGTTCTCTGCCAGCAGCCACTGGCCAGGACAGCACCTGTCCTGCACAGGACACCTGACTGTGATGGCAGGGAGCCGTGCGGTGATTTTTGACATAGGGTCTGGGCAGTGCAAGGCTGGTCTGTCGTGGGAACAGGTTCCCCGCTCGGTTATTTTCACTGTTGTGGGGTACCCCAAATTCAAACCTGTCATGTTTGGGGCAAGTCGTAAGGACCGGTATATTGGGGAGGAAGCCCAGTTCAAAAGGGGCGTTTTGTCTTTTACTTACCCAATGGAAAATGGGTTGGTTACATCCTGGGATGACATGGAGAAGATTTGGAGGTACCTGTACGAACAGGAGCTCAAACTGAAACCGAGCGAGATGCCGGTGCTGCTGACCGAGGCCCCTCTCAACCCTTCATCCCATCGAGAGAAAATGGCTGAGATGATGTTCGAGAGCCTCCAGGTGCCTGCCCTGTTCGTGACCCTGGCGGCACTGATGGCCCTGTACGCCTCTGCCCGCACCACGGGACTGGTGCTGGACAGTGGCGATGGTGTCACCGTCACCGTCCCTGTCTACGAAGGCCATTACCTGCTCCATAGCACCAGCAGGCTGGATTTTGCAGGCAGAGGTGTAACCAAATACCTCACAAGGCTCCTCTTGGAGACTGGGAACTCCTTCGTAAGCACAGCAGAGAGAGAGATTGTCAGGGATATTAAGGAGAAGCTGTGTTACGTTGTGTTAGATCCCAGCCAGAAGATGCATGCGGAGCCCGCAAAACTCCTGCGCAGGTACGTTCTCCCTGACGGGAGGGCTGTTGAGGCAGGAGACCAGCTATTCCGAGCTCCCGAAGCGCTCTTTGTGCCTGCGGAGGCAGAAATCACAGGGCCAGGGGTTGGGGTGATGGTCCTGCAGAGCTGCTCCAAGTGCCACAGCGACATCCAGCCCAGCATCCAGAGGAACGTGCTGCTGTCGGGTGGATCGACTCTGTTCCAAGGCTTCAAGGAGAGGCTCTGGAAGGAGCTCCAGGCAGGAGTTCCCAGCACAGCTCGTGTCAAGATCATTTCACCACAAGATCGGGTGTATTCCGTGTGGGTTGGTGCTTCCATCCTGGCCAGCTTAAGAGCATTTAGGAACATGTGGGTTACCAAGGAAGACTATTACGAGGTTGGAGCCACAGTACTCCAGAGAAAATGCTTCTGAACATTCAAGGAGCAACCATCCAGGGCTTGTTTTTGAGTGCCAATCTGAACTGCTGCAGAGCAGTTAATAAATCAGTACAAAAATAATTGATTTATAGTACGTGACTTCATAGCTTACTAAAGAAAGGTCTCTTGTGCATTGGGTGGGAAAAAGAGCCCTTGTTCAGAGCCCTTTTGCTATCCAAAAATGTTGGGGTTTAATTCTAGAAACGTGTTGATCCCTGCTAGAGCTGCAAACAGTTTGTCAGACTTTTAAACACTTGAGAACAAGCCACCTCCATTCCCTGCCCGTGGGGCTGGCTCCTTGCCATGCACCGTAAACATCCAGGGAGTGCAAAGAGACCTCTGATGGAGAAACAGAGGGCTCGAGGGTATTGCTGACCCTTCACCATCGTGCTGGAGATCTCCTGTAGCAGCCCTGGAAGAGCAGAGGGGCCTCAACTTCTACGTTTGGGTTTGCTCATGAAGTGAAGATAAGCTCTCTGATTCTCTAAGTTGATTTGGCTGTTAAAGTAGAGCTCTTAGGCCTAGAAGCTCTGTGCTATTACTGGCCATGTGATTTGCTGTGTCATGTCACATGTGACATTGTCCACCTGTGAGGTTTCCCTAATATTCTAGCATAAGGACTATGTGAGACTGCATTTACACAACTTAGTATAACGTTAATTGAAATTAGTAAGTTAATCAGAGAGCCCAAGGTGAAAGGTATCTATTTGAGTTTATCCGTAGGGGACTTCTGAAGGAACATTTTGATGTCAGACATCTAAGGGAAGGTGGAGGCATTGGTCCCTACCTGACACTGGTTCTCTTAGGGAAAAGCTGAGTATTTTAAGAGTTATTCCTCTACCTTGTCACTGAGAGCCAGGGAGAGTGACAGTCCTGCAAGTGTTTACTTGAATTACTAAGCAAATCTGCATTGCTGGGCTCAGTATTTATAAATAACTACGCCAAATAAGCTTAACTGTCATAAATATCGTGGCCGATGGGTTTGGTTTCCAAAGGGACCTATGGAATTCATAACAAAGGTGTGAATTTTCAGCACTGAAATTTGCACTCAAACTACTTGAAAATGGTGCATTTGCAGAGATCATCTTTATCCACACCTGCAAATACCTGCACTGCATCCAGGCAGGGGGTAGAAATCTCATCATTTGTGAAACTGATTAGCACTATGATTGATACATTGTTGAATATCATTGTGTATTGTTGGATTTGCCCAAGACTAACATGAAAACAGGGAAGAGAGCTGCAATCTCCTGTTAATTCAGTACAGTGTCTGGCTATTTTCATGCAGCTCCGGAGATGAATCTTCAAACTCGTTGATGCCCTCTGCTGCCTTGGGACTGATCAGTCCTCTGCCACCTCCTCTCGCTGCCCTTTGAGGAATCACAACAAACTCTTCCTTCTCTACACGACATTTACAAGGGAGCCACATCTACCTCCCTGTTCAGTTGTCCCCCGAGCCCTGGAGCACTTCCTCAGCAGGCAAGTGGAAAAATGGGCTGAAAGACCTGGATACAGAGGACAGGGGGAGCAGGGGATGGTTTGTGGGTGACCGCACTGAGACCCACCTACCCTGCTTTTCCCAGTGACCAGAGTGAAAGCATAAAGCAAGGAGCCTGTAGAAAAGCACGCAGCTTTCCTGCTCCATTTGTGCCCTAAGGCTTCAGAAGGTTGAGCTCTGCATTACCCCATTGAGTTAAAGCAAGTTTTCAGAGCACTTTTGAGCTGTTATGAAATCAGACTCAGCAGTGTTGGATCTTTCCTCTGTTACAGTGTGTTACCTTTTAGCAGCCTGCTGGAAATGTGTAAACAAACGAGGTACAACTGTAGACAGTTTAGATACTTCACAGCTCACTGACTTCCATCTGAGGAGGGATCTGCAGTAACTTCAGTGTTTAGACTCCTGCTCCAATAATCTAATGCAAATAACAATGCAAAAGCCAGAGTGCTGGAAAGCAGAGGGGACCTGAGTGAACACTGCAAACTGGGGGTGGTGTCAGGGAGGAGGAAAGAGAAGCAAAGGGCAGGATAACTGCAAACCCAGATGCAGAGACAAAACGTGTTCGGAGAGTGACACCTAGCAGAGCTCTCTGTGTGCTTTAATGAGATGTCACCCTTGCAGAGCAAGATATTGCCTGATGTACTCCAGGATGGGTTCAGTGATACCAAACTTGTTTTACATCACGGGACCTGGTTCAGCTTCTCCCAGATGAAAATCATTCAACAACCCATTATTAAAGGTATGTAACACCCACGGTGCTGGTTTGGCCTGGCTGTTCCCATTTACCTCTTAGGCATGACTTTGCTCAAGGACATGCAACAAGATAGCAGGAGTTGGCACATGTTCCATGACTGTAGACTTTAATCAGCCTCTTCAGTCTCTTGGTCACCTTGTATTTCCATTGCTGCACAGGGAGCTGGAAATTCATTACTCCATTTGTATTTCATTTTCACTTTGAAGAGGTCTGAGGTCTTCATCATTTGAGACCTTATTCCCTTGGCCTTCATGCCATGGAATATGAATTGCAGTGATCTTTCACCTGATGTATTTCCCCCTATGCTCTACCTGTCCTGTGGATAAAGACGATTTAAATTGTAAATGCCTGGGATCTTTCGAGCCTCAAGAAAGTAACGCTTGTTTGGTGAATATAGGACTGGCTGCAGGGCCTGAGTGAATTCCTGGATTTACCAGTGGTTAGTTCTGGAATTAAAACTCCTTGTGTCCCCTCCACCCCGGCCTACCTGCTGGTGGGGTGAGTTGAGGAGTAGAAAAGGCCTTAAGTCGGTATAAGCACTGCTCAGGGATAACGGAAGCATCCCTGTGTTTTCAGCACAAATCCAAATCACAGCCCTATACCAGCCATGTAAAAAATTAACTCTATCTCAGCCAAAACCAGCACTTCCTGGTAATTTCATTCCTCCCTCCCCAAGTCTCGTTTAAGTTTCAATCCAGCAGCAGCTCTTTATTTTCTGTTAAATGTCAGACAATTCATCATTTGCACTTTGCCCATTCCCTGTGAATTTCAGGGTTTTATTGGTATGCAGTCATGTCAGCCTGTGACAATGCACACTGATTACCCAAAACAATGTGCTGCTTGTCACCCTGCCCATTTTTGGTTGCAGGCTCTCAAGAACTGTACAAGAGCTCTTGCTTTCTCCCTCTCCTCCTTGTTATCATGTGCACAATAAAAAGGCCGGGTTCAAATATACACTTGGCAAATAATTATTATCTTTATTATTCAGATCTCCTGGCCCCTGCCCTCGTCCTGCTGAGCTGTGTGAGCACACTTGCTGCAGAAGGTGCCCTCACCCCTGCCTTGCAGATCGCAGGTCTCCAGGAGGGTGGTGATGGGCAGCTTGTTCTGAAAGCAGCTGGATAGAGAGTGCCAAGTGCATCTTTGCAGCAGGGCACGGGGGAAGGCAGGGAAATGAGCTCCTTTGTTTCCCCAGGCGGGGCGATGCTCGGGGCACGGCACACAGAGGCCCCACGATACAGAAGTGCTGCACTTGTGGTCTTGCCATGCCAGGCTCTGCAAGCAAGGTCAGACCCAAACCGCCCAGGTAAAGGAGGCATTTTTTCCCCATCTACGGTCAGAATGAAGCGATGCCAGCAGATCAGTGCATGCATTTGGCCACTGACAAAGCCAAGAGCTGCTTGATGAGCGTGGGGGTTGTTAAAGATTCTCATTAATGTGGCTGTACAGAGCAGAAGTCATCTCAAAAGACCCAGAGAACCAACCTGGAATGCCTGAGAATCATAGAATGGTTTGGGTTGGAAGGGACCTTAAAGACCATCTAGCTCCAGCCCTGTGCCATGGACAGGGACACCTTCCACTTGGAAGTCTGAGAGCCTGCTGAAGGCAGCCTGCAGAGGTGGGTGAGAAAACAAGCTCTGCAGACATTTAGAAGTAGCCAGAAAGGGTAATGGTGCTACCAAAGGCGAAAACAAGCTCTGCAGACATTTAGAAGTAGCCAGAAAGGGTAATGGTGCTACCAAAGGCAAATACCAGCCCTGTAGGTGGGTGTGGGCAGCTCCATCAGTTCATTGACAGAGCAACGGGCAGGCACACCTCCATTTCTCCAACTTTGGAAACATCCAGGTGAGTACCTGAATGTGAGGGGTTTGATGTGAAGGAGTAAGAACATTCCAGAGCTTTTCCCAGCAGAGGTGGTATAAGGTGTAGCTCTGTAGTCATTATCCACATGCCCCCAGGAACACATGCACCCACACACACACACTGATTTTATTAAGCCATTCCATGCAAGTATTTTATATATGTATATATATTTTTTTATTTGGAAAACTTCAGAGTGCTTTTTTTCACACACAGTAAAGTTGGCTTTGCTGAGATTCATTAGTCCCCTTTCCCCCTGTGTGTAAATGGATCTCTCTCAGTTATGCAATGCAAGGGTACACAACCATGAAAAGTGCAGAGGCAGCCAAAAAAAGCATTGTTCTGAACTTGGACGTGTAAAATATTCATATTCAATAATAAAAAAATAGAAAAATCCCTCCCTTAATAAAAAATTCACAGCGTAAAATATGCATTGTCGTTCCCTCCCCAGGGCTGCAGCGGTTCCACACCAACACGTTACATGGGGCTTCGCTGCCTTGTTTTACTCAATTAATTCAAAACCAATTCACTTACAGACATCCCAGTATTAGGTGCCGAAATTGATTCTGATTTCTCTAAGGGCAGTGTCTCTATGACTACAGTAAGAGCTGGTAGAAGCTGTGACTGTTCAAAGCATCCAGCCTGTAGGTCCTCTTCCTGATGGTGTGTCTGTAAGCCCAGTTGCTGTGCTGGGCATGGACACATAGAACAGCTCCGTGCAAGCAGGAGAGCTCTTTTAGCATGATGCTTGGGCCACTTGGTACCCCTAGTTCTTGAATGAGCAAATTGAGCTGAGCATTAACATGGCCAAGCAGCCTCCATAGGAGAGGGAGCACACTTTAGTGTCTGCCCTGCACCTTGCAGAGCAACCTGTGGAGCTTTGCACACACAGCAGAAGAAAGAATCTCCTCACCTTTTTAGCAAAGGGAAACGGGCAGGTGGAAATGGCCACTGGCTCACCCTGTCCTCCTTTGTATTTTTCAGGACTGTGCAATGGGAATGTGCTGAGCAGCGTGGATCTAGCTGGGAAAGTCATCTGAGCAGAGGATGCTGCTTGCAGGCCCCAGGAAAGGCTGCAGGTTTGCAACCCCCCCACTGGTTTGCAGTCATCTTGGATTCTGTTTATTGTGAAGGCTCAGCCACATCCTCCCTATCCCGAAGTCCTGAACATCTGCCTTAATTTGTCTGGCCTTGTAGCCTTTGAGGATTCACTGCTTGGTTTTGCAATGAGTCTCTCACTGAGGACAGGGAAGGGAATTTGATGGCGTCAGAAAATACGACTCTCCCTGCGCTTCTCAAGACATGTTGGATCCCTGGTGATGTCAGAGCTCCAGACTAAGCAAGGAACCACTGGAGAGCCACTTAGCCCTTGTAACGCAGATGAGCTGAGATGATTTGGAAAGATTCAGCTCTTTGGATCCTTCGCTATCCTGACAAATCCAAAGGGAAATACATGCACTGCCAAAGTTGTTTCTATGGGTCATTCCTGAATTCCTACAGAAAACAGTATTTCTCAGAACAACATAGAAGAGCTGTTAAGCGGTGCTGGTGGTCTGGTGACATCCCTACAGTACTGTCTTTCAGCCAAAGTAATATGGATTTCCTAGAAGCACGTGCCCCCAGAGGAAGAAATCATGGACTTTTAAGGTATCCCAGACAACAGTGCAGATGCTGATTTCAGCTTCGCCGTTTTAAACCCGCTGTATTCAGTGGATTGACTTTGAAAGTGGGTTTTTTTTACTGATGGGAGATCTATGAGGGGAGGAATGGATCCCTGCATCCCCAGAGTACCTGGATAACCTCCAGCTTGCCCTCTTGGAGGTTTTGTTTCCAGATCTATCACAGGCAAGTCACCAGGACATGGATTCATCCCATCTAACCGTTCACAGCTAAAGCAAGTAACTTTAAACAAGAGTTAAGATAAACAGTGGAGAGAGAGATTTCACCTACCTACGGGCTGCTGGGCTTCTATCACTCTGCTTTTACTGAAGATTTTTTGGGCCTATGTTCCTAATTTAGTTGCCTTCTTTATGCTTATCAGTGAAACTGAATCTGGGCGTTTATCTTCCTGAGCATCAATTCCAATTCTGTGAAACTTAAATACAAGATTAAAGACATTTTTATGAGGTATTATTTTTGTTACTAGAAAGTCATGTGTGAAGGCTGCAAGAAGTGAACAACCAAAAATGTTCCTAGGATATGTAAAAGCAGAAATAGGTCAAGTCAAAGGTACCAACTTCCAGGTGCTCCACTTTGCCTGATCAGATACTCAGAGATGTTCAGCCACTTCTATTGTCAGTTTATGTTTACCGAGAGGCATCCATACCACAAGTGACTAAATGTGTGAGGATTTTCTTCCAGGAGCCAGAGAAGGGATTAAACACAACAATAATCTGTGAAATTACTTCACATTTTTTTCTCCTTGAATGTCCTAAGGAATTCCCCAACTCCCAACCTGTTCCAATTGGCACCACCATGCACTTGAGCTCTAATATCAGTGGAGTTTGTAATGTTTCAACTTTTCTGGTGAGGGATTACATGGAACCGAACCAATTCTTTCCATGGGGGATTACGTAGCCACTTTTGTTTCTAATATTCCAGTCCACGAGTGAGGAACGTTTTCTTGGTTACCTGTTTCTTCTTTAACGATGAGAGTTAGTGTCATTTAAAGTATCTAGGCATAAATCCAGTTCATAAATTTCATTCCTGATCATTTCATCGCTGGTTAAATAGTCTGTCCTAAATCCAGTCTTTATGTTTTGGCTGAATGTTCCTGGACTACTAATTTAACATAAATGATGTTCCCCATTGTAGTGACTGAAATGCATCTGCATGGTAAATGAGCTAAAAGCTCACCTGAAGAACCATCAGCAGCTTATGAAAATGACTCCTATTTGGGGTAAAATTGCCACTGATTTGCAAGAGTCTGGATCAAATGTATATTCCCAAATGTTGTTTTTTTTCTGTGCAAGTACCAGAATGTGCTTTGGGGATGTTTTTGGCAGCAGTTTTAGGGCAGGAAAATAGGAAATGAACTGGAAAATGTGAAGACTACAGCAAACAAGAAAATCCTGGAAGGAGCACACGATGTAGATCCACCCTGGCCATTAATAATATGGAAAGATTTCATTAGGAAGAGAGGGAAGAGAAAAAGGAAGAATGTATAAGGAGGCAGTGTTAGCATCAGCACACACAGGACGTCCTCACTGCTCAGACTTACAGACAGGGTTTTGCAATGCACTCCTGCCCGCAGAGACAACAGGCATTGTGTCAAAAGCTGCACTTCTGAGGAAGGTGATGAGCCCCAAGCACTGGGACATGTGGCAAGTGGCTTCTGAGGCAGTTCTGCTGGGGACAGTGTGGAGATGAGGGTGCGCAGGTGAGATGCTTTCAATGCAAACCATAGAATTAAAGAATCCCAGACTGGTTTGGGTTGGAAAGGACCCTAGATACCATCCAGTTCCAGCCCCCTGCCACGAGCAGGCTTCTCCTCTTTGCATCAGTGCATGGGGAATAAAGCAGATAAAGTTACATTGCAGGTCCTGTGACCTTCCAGAAAGTCATTTGTTCTGATGGAGAGGCACTGTCTGCCCCAGCCTGAAGGGTGCCTGACAGGGGGAGCAGCCCCCCAAGAGACACTGCTCTATTTAAGGGGGCTGCAAGAGGGCATCACCTTCACAGCAGCCCCTTCCACAGCCTCCACAGTGGGACCCTGTGTAAGGAGCAAGCCCTTTGGAAGCACCGTCTGTGCGGGTGAGTGCTGGGACCTGAGCCCATCACCCTACAGATCCACGGACAGACCGCCGTGCTTGTGTCCTGCTCTGCTGCTGTCTGCTCCCACGGGGCCCAGGGAAATACACAGAGCCCAGCAAATTGTGTTGTAAAAAGGGAAATAAAGTTCTGTCCCCTTTCACCTCTCTGTAGCATGTACCTGCCACCTCATCACTGCCACCTCCCTCCTGTGTGGGGCCCTTTCAAAGGTTCCCTGGTAGCCAGAAAGCATCAAGTACATCAAACGCTTCTGTTCACTGTAACCTATAAGCAGTGTGCTGAACTCAGTGAATTTTTGTCTGGGAAATTGTTTTGTTCTTCCCTGTAACACACTCAAGGTGACTGTTCTTTTGTGTCAATTCTAGGCAAAGTGCACTGCATTGAAACTCCTGCCACAGCAAAACAGAGCAGAGCAATTTCAAGTCCCTGGGTTTGCCAAAAGTTTTTGCACCCTTATGTCACATCCTATACATCAGAGTTTGCTGGGAAAGACTTGGGTTGGGGTTTCTTTCACTGTTCCTGCTCTCTTCTGGAAATAGAAATGTCAGCAGGTCGACTGACATGAGTTATGTTTGATGTGTTTCCACAGAATGCATGAGGAAGTTCAGTCTTTATGAAACATGCAGTTACTGCAAACAGAAGAGTTAAGCAGTGGAAATGTAACGAGTATTAAATGTAGACCCTTTGGGATGCTTAACAGCTAATTCACCTGTGAGACAAGATCTGTGTTCACCAGTGCTGCCATAGTTGCATCTTCCAAAGAACTGTAAGCATATGGGGAGGGCTTTGTAGGTGTAACTTGTATATGATACAAGACAAACTTTACACATCACTGGGAGTTATTAATGGACCACCTGATATTAATTCATTTTCTGTCTTCAGATTCGGTGAGCTGAGCTGTTTCACTGCATATTCCTGGAACACACAATAGGAATCTACCCGGTTAGTCAGTATCCTTGGAAAACATCCACGGCAACGATTTCATCTCCTGCCCCTTGAGCACGGGCACATCTGTGAAGGAATTCCCTGTATTGCAAAGGTGTGATCCCTTGTATTTGCTGCGCAGCTCACAAGGAAGCAGAGAGGAGCAGCTGTGTTGTACCACACTCAGTGCTGCCCACCACCACCTGGGTGCCCTGCCCCAGCCCTGATGAGCTAAATTGAATCCTGCTGGTGGCACTCGCCTTAATTGGTCAAATCACTGATGCTGTGTAGGCACCTCTGTGCTCCTTCCAGAAGGTTCAGGCTCTGCTCAGAGGAAGGTTTGCCGCATGTGGAGTCTTCTCTGCTGGCTCAGGAGCCAGGAGGTTCCTCACCTTCTTTAAGGTCAGTCTTACGTTCTTCAGCTCTTTTGAGGTAGTGAATTGAAGGTTGGTTCGCAGCTGTAGGAAAGAGAATTAGAGCTGTAGTAGCAAAATGCTGGTTTATACTCTTATTTTGTACTTTTTTATACTCAGATTTTATGCTCTCATTTTCTGTCTCTGCATTGTGTATGTGTTGTGGGTGATGTGCATCAGCAAAGGGCTGGCTGACCTGTGGTTCTAGCAGGTTATCTTTGCAATGCTAGTAGCTTGCTTAGAGTGCAAAAAGAAAGCTCTGCTGCCTCATGAGTTTGAGAGTCTCTACCCTGCTACCCAGAGCCTAGGCTGCAGTGGGATGGGGGGAAGCTACTCTGGTATGAGGAAATAAACTGTTTGCTTCAGCTTAGAAGTGCCACATTTCTTACAGATTTGATCCTGTGTGTCAAGAGAAATCTGTTCGCTGCAGAGGGATAAGAAAGCAGCAGATGCAGAGCTCATAGGTAGGAGAAAACCTGCTTCTTTTCTAGAAAACCTAAAGAATAGGAAGCTTTAAGCCTGAAATTAGGTGAAAAGTGGAAGTGAATGGAACTTAAAAGCTAAGAAAGTGATTTGGGAAAGCTGAATTACTGTGAGGGCCTCTGTCCTCTGCTCTGATTGACATGCTGTTGTTTCTGGGGTGGAACATGGTGCTTGTTCAGCAATTCCGAGTAAGTGCTTTGGTTGGCAGTTAGGTGACAGTATCTGTTTGAAACATCAAAGGAAAATCAGTAGTGGCTGTTGCTAGGCCAGCAAGGGAGCACTGCGGGTGTGGAGAAGTGCAGGGGGTGGTGGCAGTGCACCTCCCGAGCTCGCTTTGGTTGCAGTGTTCTGTGTGTGTTGAGATGAGCTGATGGAGATGTGCCTCCAAATGGGGTGTTCTGAAACTTGTGGCTCCTGAGAGGATGTTGTAGGGTTTTTGTGAGGGGAAGAGAGAGTCCTCGGGGATTTCCAAACTGGGAAAAGCTCCTTGAGACCTTGAGGTTTATCTCCAAATGGAAGAAGCTGAATAAAGACAAGCAGTTAGATTGTGATGATAGACCTCACCCGAGTCTATCAAGGACCTGTTCCCTCCCCTTTCCTCTGTGTAGCTTGTGGGTAGCATGCAGGAGAGAGATGAATGATTTGGTATTGTCTGTGCCACAGAATCTGGGGGTTCTGCTTGGTGCTCCCTGGAGCTGACCTCGTGGTGCCAGAGGGTGAATGGCACCTGAGCCAAGCTCCTGGAGCACAGGGTGAAGGAAAACCGTGGTTAAACTCTGGGTGAGAACTATTGGGAATTGTCCTTCTCCCTCAGAACACACCCATAGTTGAGCTGCACGTTCATCTGCTGCTGCTACAGAGAAATGCAGCTGCTTTCTTCCTGCATTTATTGTTTAATTCATTCATGCTGCTTGTTGGAAACCCCACGTTAAAGTCCTTCTGGGGCATGGTTTGCTTTAAAGAAAGCCCTCTGTGGAAAAGACTTTCCTTTAAATTTAGTACAAGAGTGAAGTTCACCTAGTTTTATTTATAGACCGGGGCATGAGAGACGTTGAGCTTTGGAGCTCGCTCCGTATCTCCACTTCTCCTATAAAAACGTGTTTAACATTTTTCTCATCCTTCCAGAATAAAATTCTTTTATTGCCATTCTCTTTATTTCTAAAATGCAGCCCCTAAAGTGACAAAACTGTTGGGTTTCCTTGTTGAGTTGTGAGTTGGAGTCTGCTCTTGGATGATGTATTCTTGGGTTTGGTTGTTTTAATAGATCATGTCTTACATCTCTGTGTTTGTGACAATTTATATGCCTAAAGGTGTCTGATGTTCCAGACCTGTACCACAGGTATGATAAATGTGGGGTGTTATTAATGCAGAAGCATCCAGAATGTCATTGCACAATATGTGCTTGTATGAATGGTGAGAAATGGTGAAATGGTCAAAAATACAACTTCCCAGCAACCTGGGTGAGGGGAAAATAAAGAATCTTGGTGTTAGTTCATGTGTTTAATGGGGGGGGGGGGGGGGGGGGGGGA